GTTAGAGGCCCGGTGGCAAGCCAGGCCCCGAGCTACCCTGAGGGAAGGCGGGGTCGCCGGCCCACGGATCGCGGGGGCCGAGTCGGCTCAGTCCAACCCGTGCGGGATCCCAGGACCCGGTGGCACCGGGACTTGACCTGGTGGAGGCTTAGATTACTTGCCGGTAAAGTTAGGGCGGGGAGGAGCGACTGGGGTCGCGGGACCGGAGCACCCTGAGCGCCTTTCGGGCCCCTCCGGCAGCCAGCTCTGCCTCAAGGTTCCGGAGAAGCTGCCCGGGCCCCGCCCCTTCCCGTTCCCCGCCCCCGGACCCAGCAGCGCCAGACGCCCCCTGCGAGTGAGTGTGGCGGCTGGGGGGGCTCCGAGATGAATGAGAGAATGAATGGCTGGCCCACGGCCTATGCAACGCCCGTCACGTTCCAGCCTCCTGCTCACACTCCCAGGCTCTGTGATTCATTCATTCACTCAGGCGCCAAGAGGGGTTATTGAGCCCCCACTGTGTGCCAGCCCGGGTGTACGCCCCGAGCGGGAGCAGTCTCCTGGGAGAGACTGACAAGGAAACGTTCGCTTAGAGCAGAATGCGATAAAGGAGGGGGCTGTGTTTCGGGGATTTGAAAGGGGTTCTGGAGGAAGTGATACCTGAGCTGAGTCTTAAAGGATGACTAAGAGTCAGTCAGGTGGGGAGGGGGTTGGGTACGCGGGACAAGGAAGCTGCAGGTGCAAAGGCGAGAGGCTTAGAGGGTCACGCGTGGCTGGTGGCAGAGGCGGGAACAGCTCCTCCTGGCTGTGTGTGGTGGTGAGCGAGGCGTGGGGAGAGCAGGGACTGGAGAGGGCTACCGCTGTGGCCACACAGGAAGGCAGGAGCAGTGGGATAAACTGAGGACAAAGGAGGCTGCTGGAGTCCTCATGGCAAGAAGCAGTGGGTGTGCTTGGCACATGGTTGGGTGCCCTATAAACCTTTACTCTATTAATATGAGATGTTAACTGATTGGATTTGCATTTGTAAATCCCACAGGCTGCTGTGGGAAAATGGATCAGAGGGAGGATGGCAGGGAGGACAGTTTGGAGGCTGCTTGCCTGATCCAGGGGCAGAACAGTGATGCAGGAGCAGAGGGGAGGTTTTTGCAGGTGTTGACTCCTTGGTGTGAGGAGTAGAGGGAGGAGGGCAGGCCTTTTGATGTCAGGCAGGGATGACTAGCTGAAGGTGCCTCCCTCCTCTAGACATTACAGGATGCTGAACAAGGAGGATAGGTTAGAGGGCAAGGTGCTTTGTTAGCTTCTGTTGGACCCCCAGGCAGAGGTGTCTGGCAGGCCAAAGACCCAAGGTTCTGGAGAGAGAGTGTACAGCCCTTGACTAGGGCCCAGTGAACTACCACGTAGGACCCCTAAGTCCTCCACTTTCCTCTCCATTCCCCCTTACAACAGTTCCCTTGAATCTGGAACAGTCCTTAGTTGGGCAGCTTGGGCCCAGACCTAAGATATGTGTGATAAATAGAAGTTTACCTGTTCTGCGCCCATGCATGTGCTGAGGGCGAGACAGTATGGTTCTTTCTCTGACTCAACCAGCCATGAGACTGCCTCATTGGAAATCAGCCTACAGCTGCAGTCTGGGGGTCCTCAG